TTAAATTATGACATTGAAAGAGAAGAACTTTTCAATTTACTGTCAACAACACAAATGAAGCTATAATGGTTGTACCGTAGTTTAAATGGTGCACCTTGAATGTGACACCAGCTCAGGAGAAATTTAATGGTAAGTACATAAGAAAAATTTACGAGATAAGATGAAACCTGAAGCAAGGTAAATTAACTGAACAGGGTGGCTAAGTAAATGTTATTACATCATGAGTAAAAGAAGGAAGGGTATGTCATTTCGCCCAAACTATTGATCCAGGGAAGCATAGATATGTATATACATATTCGATAATATCCATCATATATATATATACTAATTAGATTTTTAAAAAAAGGATATCAATACTATGCATGAAAAGGATTAAACAGAGGAAACCCCTGAAGGCCGAATGATCAGTGACATAAGCGTTTGTGTAAAACCACAATCACCCAACATAATATTGAGATTCGTTGGTCATGAACTCAGATCATTTTTTTTTTATAAAAGAGATAACACATATTATTTGTAAGCGGTGAAATTATTGATTAAAAAAACACTGTTTATGGGAAACTCACTGGATCAATAAGATTGAGGATAACCTTAATAACATGATATACAAGATATGTGGTGTACGTGACAATAGCCCAGGCAGACTAAACAATTGGAAGGAATGAAAAAGAGAGTTACTCACCCTTACGAGGCATCTTCAAGGGTGAAGGCAGTCGAACACAAATAACTATGGCATACGAAAAGAGACACAAAGAAGTCCTCGGACACTTTTCATCTTCAAACACAGATATTTATTTAAATTCCATATTGTCTTACAAAGAAAGTACCATCGGGGGGGGGGAACAAAGGAAAAGCTTCTACTTCTGACGTAGAGTCGTGGATGCCGACAGTCACTAAAGATCCGTAGTTTTTTTACGGCTTTACGCCACTGAGACGTAAAAGAAAAAAATAGAGTTCCTACTTCTTAAAAGGACATTCCTTTGCAGCGTAAAAGAAAAAAAATAGAGTTCCAACTTCTTAAAAAGATATTCTTTTGCAGTAGGTGCTGCGAAAGAAGAGGTTAGCGAGAACGAACAAAAAAAAAACGATTTTTGTTCTAACTCGAAGACTTTTTTTTTAAAAGAACATATCTGAGATGCATTTACCACATATTTTTTGTAGAGATAAGAAAGACGAAATTTATATATATATTCTTAAAACTCAGAATATAGGAAGTCTTTAGACTAAAAAGGATGAAAGTACCATCATCGGCAAAAAAAGCAGTAAACCTTTACATGAAAGGCCAAGTAAGGAGATTGGAGTCCATCTAACCAAGATGGCTCCTGCGATGACGCTGGCAAGACAAGAAAAAAAATGTCAAACTGTTGCCGAGCGATGACCCAAGAGAAGTGATGACAGCGTCCCTTCAGCGCGGGAAAGTACGAGTTGTCAGGCAGGATAGAAAACTACTGTCATTGGATGGGGGATTACTACACGATTAGGTCACCACCAATCAGTGCCAAATGTACTCCCACACATACAAAAAGGCGTGAACACGCTAAAAATTCTAGAAAATTCTAGAAAAACCAACCGGAAGGATCACTACGTGCAAAAATTTGAAGGTGACTTGAAAGTGATGGGAAAAGAATTTAAGTGGTGACGTAAATAGAATGTGAGGGAAAAGAATTCGTCCTTGAAGGACAGTGGGGTCAGACGACCTTGAGTTGTAAAAGGTGAAAAGGAGAAAAACACAAAAATGTGTTGCTAACTTAAGAGGAAAAGAAACATATCCAATTCTCTTCACAGAAAAAAAATGAAGAGAAATAAAAAAGAAAAGTACAAATATTATAAACTATGAAAGATTGAATTGAAATTAGATTAAGTTAAATTCCGGACATAAAAAAAATCGTACCACGACACTGTGACATCAAACAACCAATATTAAACTTAAAAGGGATTAAATTAAACAATTAGAAGAAAAAAAAAAACGTCACACATCACTGTGACAATGGTAAATCGTCTGCTGAATTTATGTTTAAAAATATCAAACTTTCGATTAAAATCCTCTGCGGTCGCCTAGCAATGCTTACTGTTGCCAAGGCCAGAAGTATAAATAGCAACCCTCGTATAACAGATGTTAGAAAAATTTACTTTAAATAAAATTGACAGGTAAAGTTTAAACCCATTTGTAAAAAGGTCAAAAAATACTAAAATAACTTTTTTGTCTAGTTTTATAAACATTCAATAATTTGTAACAAAATATTTCTACATTTACCTGAGAAAATAAATTTTCAAGGCAATCTTGATTAAATCTAATTATTAGGACAAAATCAACTTCTTTTAAAAGCTCGGGAATTATGTCAATGAACATTGACAAAGTCTCAAATGAAATGTATTTGATAAACTGGAGAGAATCTTTCCTAACTGCCGAAAGCGAAGGTTTAGTTTTTTGCCTAAGCACTCTGGAGATTATGCTGTCAAACCTACCTTTTCTACCTTTGAGCAAAAATTTGTAGAAGAAGGTATATAATCAAATTCTGTAAGGTAGCACAACCCTGCAGCCACAGTCCCAGATAATACCTGAGCTCCACGCTCATTCGGCTACTACAGGAATAACTCGATAGATTCTCTCTTAATCAAATTTCCCCAAAGAAACTATATGCGACCTTGAACCTGTTTTAAGTTGATTAAATTTCACATCATTTTGAAAAATATTGTTCCTTAAATATTTTATTGTATAAGGATAATCAAAATAGGACTTAGATTTTCCTGTCATTGAAAAGAAAATACGGTTTGTTTTCAGTGTAGACGATTGCCATCAGACAATTGTACAACACGTCATGCAGACAGTAAAGGCAGGTTAAAAAATTTATTGTTTCTTGGAATCGAACACCAAGATCAGGGTCAGTATGATTCAACTTTCATTCACCAGCAACTGATCTTTTCGATCCAAGCAAGTGACATTCCATCCTTCATAATACTTGTCTATCACCTTATGACAATTAGAAAATATAATATTGAAGATTTCCTTATTCGGTAACCCAGTATAATGCGTGATATGATGATATAAGTTTTCCTCCTTTAGTTTTAGGTTCTCATCTTTCAGTTTTCTAATTTCTTGTTGAAACGTTTAAATTTGCATATTGGCAGCAGTAAGAGACTGAGGAACAATAGAAGTTAAAAATCAAACAGCGTCATACGTTGAAGCCTCAGACTAGCTCTGCCTTTCTCCCTTATCAGCCCTTTCCTCTTCGGAACACGTAACGTCGCTTGAGGAGCGCGGTCGTTTCCTGGAAGCTAATCCGACTGTCCTAATCCTCTGCCGGAGTCTGGTTTTCTGATAGTTGACGCGTGGAGTAATTTCGTAGCCGCGATGAAACTGGTGCCACATTAAGTAGGTTTCACTGCGTTAAGCTGGCGAAGTAGAAGTGTCCTGCGAGCATCTGCAGTCTGGTGCTCCAGGGTTTTTTTGACTTCGACTGTATGAGTTGGAGGTGGTGAAATATACATTAATGCAGCACCATATATTGCAGCCGCAGCTTTTCTCGCTCTGCCTCGCCGCCGACATTTGAATACCTCGAAGGGTGAAAAGTTTATATCTTAATATCCTACAAAAACTTAATATAGAAGTTATTATTAAACAGAACAGAAGAAGTTGTTATTAACAGAAGAAGTTATTAAACAATTAGGCTAGTTGAAACATTTAAGATGATTAAAGGGAAAAAAAGCTATTATAATAAATTAGAAAAAAAAATATCTAAATTTTGTAAGAAAGAAAAATTAGAATTGAACGAGGTCCAATTTAACGATAACGTGTGTGACACAACGGAAATCTCAAGACAGGGGGACCCAAAGAAATACTAACAAAACGCTCTCCCTTTTTACAGCCCTAGAAATTTTTTGTTCCAAGCAATTTATAACCAGAAATCAGATAGAAGGGTGTTGTCTGATTAAAATAATTGATATTTGGTCATGAGGCCTTGGCGGCGGATGACTTCGGTAATTCTATTTGACATGCTGTTGATCAGCTTAGCAACAAATTTTCGATCTTTCATTAGCTCCTCACAAGCTTCCAGGACTTTGCTCCACAATTGATCACATGATGGAGTGCCGATGAGAATGAGTTTCTTTTTCAACTCAGATGTGGTCTCAACTCAGATTTTCAATGGGGTTCAAGTCCGGAGAATTACTTGCCCATGCCATGGTTTCAAATGCCTGCTGGTTTAATCAGATTTTAACGATCTTGCTACGATGTATCCCAGAGTTATCTAGCTGGAAAACAAAGCAGCCATTATTAAAATGATTATCCAAGACATCTGAAATCATAATATGCTCAAGTAAATCACGATACGATCTGCATCCAGACCGTCGATCCGATGAAGACCCTGATGAGGAGAGACAGCCCCAAACATTACCACTTCTGAGTATATTTTGGAAATAACGGATCATTACACATTCCGGCAGGTAGACAAACCCTTATACAACCAGAATAATCTGATTGAATACATCTTTCGTCCTACCCCAATCATGTATGGTCCAATTTAAGTGTGTGTTGGCAAATGCTAATCTTCCTCTTTTTTGTTCATCAGTAAGAAAAGGCTTCTTTGCTATTCTACTTGATAGACCAGCGTCATGAAGTCTGTTTCTCACTGTCTGATCATATCTAAAAATATGATGAAAAAGAAGCTTTTAAATAATTTAAAATATAAATAAGTATAACTCACACGATCAGCAATCATTATACCATGAGCAGTTTTTTGAATTGAACCAAAATTTTGCCTCAATTGATTTAAATACTGACAAAACCGATTGACGAATATTGCCTTTCTGTCCCTCCTTGGTGCAGCTCCTCTTTTTCGACTCCTCCGACCAGTTCGACTCCTCTTTTTTGACAGGTCCTCTTCTTCGGAGGACGTATCGTCGCTAGAGGTGCGCTGTCTTTTCCTGGAAGCTAGTCCGACTGGCTTAATCCTTTTCCTCCAGAGGGGTCGGAGTTGTGATAGTTGGCGCGATGCAACTGGTCCCGCGTCAGCTATATTGCACTGCGTTAAGCTGGCAGAGTAGAAGTCTCCCATCAACATCTGCAGTCTAGAGCTCCTATGTTTTCTGACTTTGGCTGGATGAGTTATAGGTGGTGAAATATACACTGATGCAGCATTATACGTTGGATCCGCAGACTTTCTAGCTTTGCTTTCCTGTCCCTCCTTACAGTTTGCCTCCTCTTCTTTGGCAGGTCCTCCTCTTCGGGAAACGTATCGTCGCTAAAGTTAGCGCAGTCTTTTCCTGTAAGCTAGTCCAACTGCCCTAATCCTCCTCCGGATGGGCCGTAATCTGGTTTTGTGATAGTTGACGCTGGGAGTATTTCGCATCCGCGATGAAACTGGACCCACGTCAACTATGCCTATATCTACATAGATGAATTTTAAGTTCGCATTGACCAAAGCCAATGCTGTTAAAATGTTTATAGTTATACTATAATGACCCTGAATTAGAAGGTGGGACTGTACAAATATGCTTCCCACCCATTGCTCCAATACAATTTGGAAAAATCCATTTATCAAAAAGGTCCCCCGAAATCTTGAGCCATTCACCTGGGCTATTCGGATCCTACATTTCTTCTCTTAAAGCTTCAGCTATTGCCGATCATACTGCTGGTATAATTCCTGATATGATATTCTGTTAAGCAATAGAGCTTTGTGCCTCCTCTGTTAAAATT